AATGATCATTTAACTTTTTAAAAATATAATTTTCTTTGGGGGCACGATGAGATAAATAACATCCAATGCCTTAAAATTAAGTTATGTCTTTTACTATTTTTAAGTTTATTCACTGAACTACCCATAATTTTAAAATATTGTCAATATGTTTACTTTTTAATATTGTTAATGTAAAATATATTGTGTACAATTTAAAAAATATAAACGAAAATTAAAAATAAGCTCCAAGAATGCTGTTATGTTCATCAAAGTATTTCTTCTTTTTATTTTGTGCATATCATGCTCTAAATATGAAACAATACAATTTTTTTAATTTACCACAATATAATGAGAATTTATCTATGGCATTTAAATGCAAATATGTTTAAAGCTTTTGATCCAATGGAGAGTAGTAATCTCCCACCTCTAATCCTAAGTGGGCACTTCTAGAATAAGATACTCTTTTTTTTTTTTTTTTTTTTAACTCTTTAAGTGGAGAATGATTCCTGCATTAGGAATCTTTTTTTTTTTTTTTTTTCTCTTTTGTGGCCTGAAGCCTTCTGGAACATTGAACTGCTTCTCTTACAGAATCAAAATTTTGTAATATAGGGATGAAATTTTTTATATAACTAGTCAATAGGAAGCTGGACAATGAGATGGAAAGACTCTGATAAGCAGGGTGACCATATAATTTAACTTTTAAATATGAATAATAATGGATGTGTTGGAAAAGCCACAAACCAACACTGTTCTAGGCAAACAGGAACATATTTAAGGAAGGTATCAAAAAAGAAATTTGAGTAATAAATTCTAAAATTAATATCAATTGAAATCATTTTGTGTATACCAGGCTCAGTAAACTAAAATCTATTGGCCACATCCAGCCCCACTGTCTCTTTATATGTTTTCTCAACTAAAAATTATATTATGCATCTAACTGATTGAAAAAAAAAATCTTAAGCGTGATTCTTTCTTGTCATATAAGTACCTACACAATATCCTTCATTTTGCATCTTGAATTACAAAGCCTAAAATATTTATAATTTGGCCTTTTATAGAAAAAAGCTTGTCACTCTCTGTATATGCTAATATATTCTACTCTAATAGTTTACATTGTTTCATGCTTTGCTGCTTATCAGTTTCTCTGATTTCATGGTTCTCACAACTGAGTAAAATATGGACTCTAGTATAAAGAAAAGAAAAACATTCTTTAAACTCCAGACAATACAGTTTTTCATGCAATAGATGAGTAAACATTGACTTACAAAGCAAACTTCTGTTCTGTAAAATTCAGCTTCAACTGAGAATTACCACTGAGACATATGCTGAAATATTACTTTGATCATTATATTAACAAAACTGAAAAAATTCTCTCAGTGGACCTCAAATGCCAGTTTAAGAAATTGTTATTCTAGTATATTCCAGCTGTACTGTAGGGTCTGGAAAAGCATTCAAATAATTGTTCTCCTTCTAAAGGCAGGTATTAAAACTATAAGTAAATAAGCTATCCAACTACTTATTTTATTTCCTTCTACTCTTTTTTGCTCCCATTTTCTGTATATAAATGTACTAAAAATGGTTTAAATATGCAGTCCAATTTTTATAACAATCCATAAAATTGCAATAAATATTCTGTAATATTATGTAAAGCACATAGAAAAAACTGACATAATCTTATCAAGTTATGACTGACTAACTCTTGGATATTGTAATGCATTTTTAGTTAAATTGACAAAATATAAAACGTTTTAATTTTTTTATTTTCTTATTCAAGTGTTTCTTTAATGCACTTTTTAGAAAAGTAGGCACACTCATTAACATTTTTGTCTTTCAAAACTCATTCTAATCTTTAAGATAATATCTGGCATTATTTCATTGATCTCATGAATCTTTCTTATGACCTTTCTGGTAAAGGATCACTTGAACCATGGTAACTTACTGGAAAAAACAAAACTGAACATCATAAATAAACTATAATTTTTTAGCATCATCTGACAGTGTTGAGGGCAATTTTACATTTATAAACTATTAAGCGTCTTCTACATCTTCCCACAGGAGGTTCAACAAATAAACAAAATTATTTCTGTGTGGGTCACACATATTAAAATCAACCAATGAATGAAATTTACATTTAACCAGAAACACAACAGGAATAAATAAAATTAGGGTTAAAGGAAAGCATAAATACCTTTCTACATTTTACATTCATATCCATTCCTTACTCCCTGCGGCTTAGAAAATTTATATTATCTTGGTTAATCATCTTCCTTCATGCAGTTTATAAACAAGTATTAGAGTAAAGGATAAAGATAAGAGAAAATAAACAAATTTAAGTTCATTCCCTATGTACTCTGTTTCCTAAGAGCTCAAGTTAGTTGATATTGTAAGTTTCCACTAAAATAAAGCTGATTGGGTTGCAAATCCTCTAGACCTTCGTTAACTACCTAACATCCCCTTGTCTAGTGGGAAAATGATGTTTGCTTTCCAAAAAGGAAAAGCACAGAGTGAGTAATTTCTCAAAGTGTGGCAAAAGGTTTTGGAATGAGGACATTAAAAGGTTAAAAATACAAAAAGAAAAGAAAAAAGACAAAAACTCAATAGACAATTTCTCTGTGTAATCAACCTATTGAAAACTAAAGTCAGTTTGGGAATTCTACAATTATCTGATCAATCTTGATAGTGCTGATTGTTGGTTGTGGAAATTTGAGTTCCCAAAGGTAGGCTATTTATCAACCCAAGTTCCACCAAAACCTCATTGCCTGATAGACTAGATCAGGGGTATTCAGCAGAAATAAATTTGGCTATGAAGTTTCCAAGATTTACAATTTGCTATCTGAAATATTATACAAGTTACAATTACTGCCAGAGTATGCTGTGCAAAGTCACGTGAAGATAATTAGATGTCAGTCTGCATAATTAGTGTCCTTTTCCTGAAATTCCCTCTTTACCAAATAATTATTTTATTCCGTTAAATGTGGAAAGTTTTTTTTATTTTTCTTGTCCCTATGGTAAATCATATGAAATGTTTGGATTGGTACGTAAGCCAGTAGAGGGAAGAATGCTAATATTGCTAGAACGTTGTGTTGAAATTTTTATTAACCTGAAAATTATTGAAAGTAAAATCTCCCATACATGGTGGTTGTAATCTCAGCAATAGAGAAGTCTGAGGCAGGAGGATAGCTTGAGGGAAGGAGTTCAAGACCAGCCTGAGCAACATAGCAAGACCCTTCCTCTACAAGATAAAAAATAAGCTGGGCAGGGTGGTGGCACATACCTGTAGTATTAGCTACTTGGGAGAGAGGCTGAAGTGGGAGAATCTATTGAGCCCAGGAGTTCCAGGTGATGGTGAACTATAATGGAACAACTGCACCCCAGCCTGGAGATGGAATAAAACCCTGAGTCTAAAAATTAATTAATTAAAATAAATAAAAAATAAGTAAAAATGAAGGAAAGTAAAATCTACATTTCATAAATGGCTTATCTAACTACAGCTTATGTTGCAGGTATGAGACTTTCAAGATAAATCTTATAGTGAAGGTAAAATACTGCTGTGAACAGGTCATTGTGCTAAGGTCAAGCTTCTAAGTTACAGGATGAAATTCTTCCAATAAATCGGAGATGGTAGAATAATTAAATCTATGCCTTGGAAGCAGGACTGTGCAGTTTTTGTTGGCCTGCTTCATGCCTATCTTCTTTCTAAAGTGTATCGCCTTATATTTACATGTTTGAGTTTTCCTTGTTTTAAGTACATTAAGAATGTAATTTTATAGTCAAAAATGTTTCTTAAAATTGAAATAAAAAATTTAAAAGAAGACTACATAGTGACCTAATTTTATGTAGTCTTCCATTAAAATATGTACACATTTAGTTTTCACCACTAGAAAAGTGGAAAGCCAAAACGAATGGACAAATCATTTCTTCACCCCATTCCAACTTGAAGAAGCCTTTCTCACCACATTTCACAATGATTCATTCTTTAGTGAAGAAAGGCTGGCAGTTAAACTCAATTTACAAACATATCTTTGATTCAAGACAGTATACGTCATTTAATATAAATAAAATATATTAAATTTTCACATAAGGCAGGGAGGGGGAAACTGGTAGAGAAAGCTCAGACAAGGATCTTTAGAATGTTTTTTTCAAATTGGTAGATTTTAGCATTGCTATTGTGAGATGGGACAGAAATTCCAAGCAATCTGTTAGTAAACATAGAAATATTTTCTTTCTTTTTTAAGTTTAAGTTGAAAAGAAGGCCACTATTAAGAGACTGGATAAGAGAAGGTGCTTACTTGAATAGATACCAATTTAATAAATAAAGAATATAACTATAATAGTCAGGGACATACTTTTATAACAAATAGTAAGAATAATAATTAAAAATAGATAATAAATGATAGAAATATAAAAAGTAGAGAAAGTAAATTGAAGAAAAAAATACATTATCAAAGAAAAAATTATTTTTCCTTTATTTTCTCTACATTTTACATGATTTTTAAAAGTCTGTAACTTTTTTGTATTTGTCATTAATTTAGATTAAAAACAAAAATTTCCTAAAAAAAAGATAACATTTTAACTTAGGATTACTTTTATCTTAAATGTGAAATTTCTGTAGATGCCTCTGAAAATAAATCAATCTTCATATTAGTGACAAGTTATTTTTCCTACCATATACTGTAAGATTGTAAAGCTAGCCAGGTAAATGTCTCAGGAATTATTTTGATGAAAGCGAAGGATCTGAGTTCTATTCCATTATGAGGCAACGTCATGTGACAGTTATGCATGGTCCCCCCTATATCGACAGGTGATGCCACATTAGCTTCCTTGCTGTGTCTTAATTTACAATGAATCAAACCATCTTAAAGCAAACTGGTACATGCATCCATTCACTTCTCGTCCAATCAAAACTGAATTACCTGTCAACAGAGAAGTACACTTACAAGTGTGAAACCATTTGACCATGTTATATTTTAATTTGCAGAGACAAAAATGACAAGCAATTTATTTACATAAAACTGTACAAAAGCAAATTAAATTATGTAAAGTATTTCATAAATAGTTGGACGAGTGTTTAATACATTTCGCCATGTTAAGCATAGTTGCGTGCATAGTGACTCATAATAAACGATGATAAATTGTTCTCTGCTTCACTATCAACATCCAAGTAGCAGAACAATAGTCAATGATTAACATTACAAACAGATCGTACCACACTGAATGCAAGTGCTTTAAAATGTAGGAAAATCTGAAAGTAAACCCTAGGTAGCTGAAAAAAATGATGCCTTCCTCCAGATGTTACCATTATACCTTTGCTTAGGTCACACCTAACAAGCTTTATTATATTCATGATCATTTTCATTTTTTATTTTGTTTTTTTGCTTAAGGACACATTTACTTATTTATCACTGACAGCATATACCTAAGATTATTTAGGTCTTTAGATTTCTCACGACTGTTTTTGGATGGCTGTTTGATTCTTGACAATTTCTTCTGGTCTGTGTGTTTTATTCTATCTTCCTACAAGACAGCTTCCTAGGGTAGGGTTTCAGTCAGACATCCTCAGTACCATCTTAGTTCTTCCTCCCATAAAAATAATGCCTCCCTTGTTTTCTGAAACTCAGGCAGCAGGCCAGTCAGAAGCCATATAGAAATGATATCTGGAGATTCAGAAAGAGCAGTAGATTTTAGACTGAAGCTACAGACGTTTTAATGCACATAAATTTATATAGTTACTCATTAATTTATAAATGTGTCCTAATGTATAATGCATGCAAAATTCACTTGAGATTCTTGTGTACATAAAACAAATATGGTTTATATACTGTACAACCAAAATGAAACTGCAGCTAAAAGAAACACAACAAAAAAGAAATAAAGAATAAAATTCTGAATCAATATTTTACCTTGCAAAATGGACTGATTTCACTCCTGATAAAACCTGTTACTCTTACAATAAATGCTTTCATCTTTCAGTCAGATTTAAGCAGCCCATATTAATGCCTTAATTTCGCTTTATGAAATAACAATATTTAAGACTGGTCCATTATCTGAGTTTGTCAGAAGGCAAATTTTTAATATATTATTTATTATTTTCAGAAAATAAACACGGATAAATATACAGGATCAAAAAAGTTGGGAATAGCCCATTTCCCCTCATCGTCCAAACCCAACAACCGTTTTTTTACCATAACAACAGGTATAAAAGGCACAGTTGCTTATTTTGCATTCACTCATTTATTTATTTTTTTTGTTTCTTTTTATTGATTTTTTTTTCAAAAGCACTCTATATATGGAGTGGCACCAGATTTAACCTATTCAAAATAAAAGTCATACAAACACAAAATATATTTCTGTGTCATGCCAGCTCATTATAGAATAAACATGTTATGATAGCTAATTCTACTAGAATTACTGTGAATACTTACAGTACACTGAATTTTATTCTTTCACACCCATTTTAGTTCTAAAGAGAGGTTCACGAGTTAAATGACAATGGCATGGCTGTCTTGAATGTGGTGCAAACATCATTGGGGAATGTGGATCCAATTAATCCAAAGGTCCGGTGTGACCCGTATTAGTTTTATAGACAAGAGAAGGGTTTAAGATAGAGTGAAATGAGCTATCAGTAGTTTCAATGTCTCGTGAAAGAAAGAAATACATTAAAAAAAAGTTTGTCGAATATCTGTGTTATGCAATTATTTCCTTTGTAACGTGCAAGAAAAAATATGTATACATTTCATAAGTATCTTTAGAAGTATTTTGTCTTAATAGGTACTTACAGATTATACAAGGCAGAACTGCTTTAATGCAGTTTCCTAACAAAGTACTAGAATTGCATCTTTCCATAGTGTAAATAATAATCAAACATAAACATGTTCAATTACCGATATTTTAGTCCAATGTTTTTGTTTCATTACATATCTTTTTGCATCCTACCTATTATACATAAACTGACGTCAAAATGAAAACTTCATTTAAGAAAGAGCATAAGGAAATGACCCCCAAATAGTACCCCACCAAACAGAGAAGTGGTTTTCAAAGTTAAGTATTTTGAGGACCTATAGTAAATTACCAACCTATATTCCAGGCTGTGTCACTTTATATTCTAAGAAATTCTGCAAAGCATGAAACTACCCAAAGCTACATTGTTTCTACAGTTTGCTAGATAGCAATCAAGGCTATGCCTTAACCAGCTTACAAACATTCATTGACATTGATGAGAGTTTGTTGTCTTCACACCTGTTATTCCCTATTCTGTCCATGGATTGTCACTTTCGTCTGAATGTCCCAGCTCAACTTGCAGGCATATTCGGTTATCCTCTATAGAGTAAGTGGCTCAAAATCTGCATATTCTGTTTCTTTTTATTGCACTGGAAAAACTCTGCTTTCAACTTTGGGATATACATCCTGTGAAAAATGTCACTGCCCAGAACCCCTTTCTTTCATGTTCATTCTAAATTTAAAACATATATTAAATAATGTTCAAGTCACATTCCTGATAAATTCAATTAGGGTGTCACCTTGTTTCAATGCTGTGACTCTCAAAATATTTCTATATTGCACACAATTTAAAATTAATGCACTTATGGTGCATGAATGTGTGCACTGAACAAGTAAAAAATGCAATTGTAATTTAAAATACAGACAAAAAAAGCAGCAAGCATAGCCTGGATTCTAAAATGATAATTGTGGACTTAACTAACAAGACTGTATACGAATGCATCTTTCTTCACCTACCCATGACCCATAAATACTATTTTAAAACATGGAATCTTCCCTGATAATATTACCTGAAACTAAACTTGAACCTCAACCAATTGCCTATTATAATACCAAAAATATATTTACTAGTTTTCATTCTTTGCGCTTTCTAATGAAATCCATTTTAAAAGAAGAAACATGTTCCTGGGCACTATAAAATAAGCTAGTGTTTGTTTGATTGTTTCTGTGCGCACACGGTTTCAGTTGCTTTTGTTTTAATGGTTTTCCATGTCAAGACCAAATCAACTTCATGATCTCCCTGATCCGCCATATGATCTTTGGCCTTTGGATGATACAATTGTTCAAGTTAGTTAATAATAGTGGTCCTGTTCTGAAAAAAATATGCTTTTTTATAAGTCATAATTAGTGAAATTGATACATGTAATCAAGACTGTGTATACTGAGAATATTTGGTGAATGTATGAAATTGAAGTTGATGCTCTTGACCTGAAATAACAACATAGGCCAATTTAGGACTGCAATCACCCACTGAGTATTGTTTTGCTCTTAGTCTTTGTTGGAATATTAAAGCTTTGATCTTCCCAAAATGCTTTTTAATACAGTCCCTCTTTCTAAGGACTGTACCTTTAGAGAGACTCTATCACTTTCAAAGGATTGCCTTTGATGGTGATAAACCATATCATGATGGTATGTCTGAAATATATTTTATCTGTCCTGCTTATTGTTGACCAGCCGGATGACACTCGAACAAAATCAAAGTGACTAAAATCATGCTTCAGCTTAGGGATAATGAGAGTGTGTTGTGTTCTGCTAATCAGGCTTCGTACAGTTACCGTGAAAGAAACTTGCAACCATTCCCTCTTTTTTTTTCTTTTCTTTTTTTTTTTTTTCTTTTGGAGAGGGGTGGGGAAGAGAAAGTGAGTGTTGGGAGTCAGTGAAGGAGTTAGACATGCAAGTAACAAGGATGGTCTCTACATTGTACAGTAGAATCAGGCTAGCAGTATCACTAAAGGCCTGATCTGGAGGCAGAAGTGGCAGGCAAAGCTTTGTCTCTTTGGTAGCCCCTTCTCTGTGATTAAACCATTTTGCTTTGTAAGGTTTTTTGCCCCTTATTATCCTTTTCATACATGTAAAGAACTTTGCTGTTGCTCCTTTACAGCCTACAGGTAAACTTCTCTTCTAGTGAGAGTATTCACGGGAGATGGCTTATATTCCCCCGTTTTTGTAAGGGGAATATCCTCAGGGTGGGCTTCCTCATTTTTGCTGAAGCTAGCTGCATTGAAGGTCTCATAGGATGAGGTTAACTTTTTGTTCAGGAGGTTTCTGTTGCGGTCACCCATGATGGCAGCCTCCCCATTGGCCAGCTTTTCCTGGCTTCCTCGTTCATCAACAGGCATGAAAGTAGAGAGTTTAGGCTGGCTCTTCTTCCTCTCGGGAGAAGTGCGGACCGGCATCCAGCAGGAGTCTGAGTGGCCATACTCATCACACTCACGAGTGCACTTCCCAGTCAGGGCTACATCTGGAAGAGGCCTTGAATCTGAAATCCAAGGAGAATAACCCATTAGTATTGGACACTCCTCAACAGGCTTCCCTAATCTACATGGCATTGGGGGAAATATATAAATATATTCCTTGCCATCTTTTTTTCTCATTTCCCAACACCCTCTAGCTCATCATTCCATAGGATAGTTTTTAATCTCATGTGCATCAAATATAAGGTTTTGCAAAGACATTCAATATTATAGAATAGGAAAATAGACAAAATGATACATTTTGATACAAAATTGTGTAGATAAGACAGATATATATGTGTTTGTTACAGGACAAGGACATGAGGATATTCTCAATTAGAAGCTCTAAGTACATGGGTAAATTTGCATGAGTGTTAATATTTTCCACATCCATAAGAAAAATTATTAAATCCAAATAGACAATTTTCTGGACTTATAAATTATCCCAGAAGTGGTGTGCTTTTGCCAATTGGATTTCTTCCTGTGAATACATTATGCAAATATGCAAAACCTTATATTTAAAATATATTCCAAGACATGGGGTGGCATGGAAGTAGAATGTAAACTGACAGCACATTATGCAGTAAAAAGTAAAATACTGGTAGTTATAGGTATGAATATACTAACAATATCACGCACCTGCCCACCCTAACCCACATCCCCCTCACCCCATTCCAAATGTGCTGTAGGATAATTCCCTGAAAGTTCACACAGAAATGCATTGGCCATATTATCTGAAATGTAATGTATTGGGTGAATATAGGCAAGTGACTACACTTTTGATGTACTTGCATGTACTCCTAATTAATGGTGCCTTCCAATAAAGTGGAAGTGGCTTTTACTTCTAAAGAGCTAAATCATGTCCAAATAATTCTTAGGCAACAAGACTAAAGATGGCAAAATGTGTATGTGTAATTGAAAGCATGCATCTGTCTTTGGAGAATGGTTATGTATTTTCTAAATATTAAAAATGTTTTTATAGACTGTTTTTGTTTGAGAAAGAGAGAATGGGAGATAGAAAAACCTGCTCTACTTCAACAGATTCTAAGGCAATAACCTGGGGGGGGGTTTATTTAAAACGTTTTATTGTTTTTTTTGCCAAACAAAATAACATAATAATGATTGCATTCCAGTTATTATCACATGGTATCATTTTATTCTAAGACTTGGGACTTAAAGACTGACAAATCTGACCTCTGAAAATATATTTGCAATCAGTGGAATCAGTGAGATTTGCATATGCACAATCCTAGTAGATTTGTTTAAAATAGAAGAGAAGTTATTTAAATTATTCCCAATATAAGTACACTCTCTGCTTTTGCTTCCATATACCATCCCCTGTAGTTTAACATTTATATAGAATATTTTAGAAGTTTTACTTGGCTAAATCTCCTAAATTAAGGCTTTCCACTAATGCTGGTCATTTTTTCCTTCAGTGATAGGTAACTGAAATATTGACATTTTTTGGCTCATTGATGATTGAACCTCAGTGTCCTGGGATTTTTATTGACCTGTACTAAGCGTTCACATGGAAATTCCAGTGTTCTACACAGAAATCTAGAATTACCTGACCTTCTTCTGTAGGTAAAGTGTAAGGTTAATTATTTATTCCAGTTTCCCACGCTGCCATTTGACTTCTAAGTGGGCAATATTATCTTAATTTTATCATCAAAAGGAAAAAAGTACTTTATTACTCATTTTTTATCCTAAATTTTCTGTTTCTCAAAGGTGTAGTTTAGATGCATCGTAAAAGCCAAATTATTGACAAGTTTTATTAATGGTTTTTGTAATCTAGTCGGTTTAAATGAACAAACTGCAAGTTCTTTGAGAATATTTCCTATCTTGGGATACTTTTTTTTTTTTTTTTTAACTGACCTAAATGCTTTGAACAGGGGGAAAAAGGGGAAAAAAGTATACAAATGCAAAGTGTAAGATCGGGTCCACTTTTTACTCAAAATATTTCTTTTTTTTTTCACTGCTTCAACAAATCAAATGGTTCCTCTTTTCTTATGGTAGTCAATGGCAAGGCCATGTGAAAGTAATCTGGAATTGAGCTTCTGAAATAGAAAAATAATATCTCTATAATGTGTTTGTCTGAAATAGAAAAATAATATCTTTATGAATAATATCTTTATGAATGTGGTCATTCCCTGCAGAAATGACCCAGAATTGTCTCCTGTCGTCTCTCCACATTTATTTATGTCTCACACAGTATGTCAGCTCACTTATACAATGACTTATACAGGTGGCTGCTTTTCAGGGATTAATTTGTGTTTTTAGCTTGAAAGTCATTGCACTTGTTTTCCTTCTGTTTGAGATGCATTTATAAACAGATTGTAATTCCATATTGATGCTCAAACAAGTCTTCTTACTTTTTAACTTGTGTACCTAAACTATCTACTGCTCATAAGCGATTATACTCATTTATTAAATAGATTGACTGAATCTCCAATCAGCTGTGAGATGCTCTTCAGTTCTTTCCTTCAGTCTTTACTTCATAGTCTGGAGTATTTTCTGACAAAATTGATTTCCTCTATTGCTTTTAATGAAAGGCAGCTTGTCTTCTGTGCCATCTTATACATGCAAGCTGCCACATCTCTATCCAAGAGCCATGACTTTTAATAAGGATCTCCTGTCATTTCCAAAGTAAAACACTTGATTGGGGACCACAGTGGAAGTTGACAAGCCTAATTGGCTGAGACAGGTTGCAGCGTTTGTCATCAAATTTAGAAAAATAATCAAGAAGGACTATAAGAGATTCATCACAAGCAATCAAAACTTCCAATTTGGTTGACTAAAGTGAATCTTCAAAAGAAACACCAGTGATTAACAAATGCAATCTGTATTATGATGCAACTTATTAAAGAAGGGCATGAGTGAAATTGTATTTTTCTTTGTTTACATATTTTCTTATTTTAATTATGCATGCATATATTATAAATTTTTAAAAACACAAAATTTATGCAGGATCTTAGAGAATCATCAAATGCAATTCTTTCTTCTTTGCACAAAAGAGATACTTTTAAACTGTCCTACTTTTTGTGGCATTATAGAGGAAAAACCTTTCATAATTAGTAACTCTTCTGATTCCTTCACTGAGGGATGTGTTTTCTAACATCTAAGAATATTATTTTATGCTTTAGCGCTGTTTTTTAAATTTTTGATCTTAGTGAAGATGGAAAACACCTGATCACAAATCTTCTTAGCTGGCATTGAGTGAATCAGTACAAATGGACAATAGGAAAATGTAGTAGTATTCTCTGCAAGCATTTTCCAAAATAAAGCCAGCTCTTCAGAGATTTTTTTTTCCGTATTTCTTAATGCCCCCATACCCCATCAATCATATCAAATTTTGAGAAGACTGGAAGTAAAAATGGGATCCACCAAATCCTGTTCTTGCTTAACATACTTGCAGAGGTTTCCATTTTAATCAAGTTATACTGTTTACTAGAACAATTGCATCATTTTAGAAAGTTAAGATCCTCTCCTAGACATAAAGTTAACGTCCCTCTTGAAAGTAGACAGTTTTTCTTTTCTTTTTTGTTTTGAGACGGAGTTTCACTCTTGTTACCCAGGCTGGAGTGCAGTGGCACAATCTCAGCTCACTGCAACCTCCGCCTCCCGGGTTCAAGCAATTCTCCTGCCTCAGCCTCCCGAGTAGATGGGACTACAGGCGTGCGCCAACATGCCCAGCTAATTTTTTTGTATTTTTATTGGAGACAGTGTTTCACCACGTTGACCAGGATGGTCTCGATCTTTTGGCCTCGTGATCCACCTGCCTCAGCCTCCCAAAGTGCTGGGATTATAGGCGTGAGCCACCGCGCCCAGCCTCTTTTCTTTTTTTGAGACAGGTTCTCTCTCTGCTGCGCAGGCAGTAGTGCGGTGGCACAATCTTGGCTCACCGCAACATTTGCCTCTTAGGCTCAAGTGATTCTCCTTCGTAGCTGCGGTTACAGGCACACGCCAGTACCACCCGTCTAATTTTTGTATTGTTGGTAGAGACAGGGTTTCACCATGTTGGCCAGGCTGGTCTTGAACTTCTGACCTCAAAAGATTCACCCGCCTCAGCCTCCCAAAGTCCTGGGAGAACGTAGACAGTTTTAAGCCATCATACTAGCGAACAATCTTAGAACAATTTCTAACACATGAAGTACTTCCCACATGAAGTTCATCTCTTTAATTTAGCACCTCAATCATATAGCAAGGAGGATGGAGCTGTGAAGGGGTCCAAGCTATGGGAGAGCTGAAGCCAAAGAATAAGTGTTTTGACTTTCAGTTTACTGTTTTCCCACTACAACACATTGCTTTTTCTTAAAATATCGCAGCTGAGTTATTTAGAGGTCAATTACTGCTACTTATAACCATCAGAAAAAGCTACAGTCTGCAAAGAAAGAGAAAACAAATCTGAGTAGCACAGGAAATAGATGCCACAGAGTCACAAATTTTACTAATTAGTGAAAAGAATGACACAACCTTCCTAAAACTATGTTTCTGAAAGTGGGGACAATTATATGCTATCCTAAGAAGTCAGATTTTCACTCAAAAACATAGTATTTTTGTTCTTACTAAGCAGGGTATGTAGATGGGTGGTGGGCAGATGCTGCTAGATGCTGTTACAATGACCTCAATGAGAAGTGACAGATAGATAATAGATAAAATCATTAGAAATAACAAGGAAAGCCCAGATTTAGAGAGGAATTTCGTGTTTCCAGAAGCTGCCCTACACAATTCAGAACCCATTAGCGGCATCATGATGATAGGAGAGCACAGTAGACTCGTTAAGACTTGAAGACAGTTGTGCACCAGGAAGGGTTTTAAGCATGCAGAGTTATGCCTCCTGCTAGATTCCAAGTCACTCACTCTAATCCAGGTCTGTGGCTTTGGGCTAGAGATACATGGATCTTTGTATTTACTGAGAGAAGATACGAAAAGGTTATATTTAGTTTGAATATATTGCCAATGAGTCTTCTTAAAGATCAGATATGTAAAGCTGTATGCATCATTTGCTAATTTAATTCATACATTA